ACATTACAGTAAAACATTAACTAGTGAATGACTGTCGTTTCAACTTCCTTCACTTTACTCTGTTCGTATTAGAGTATAATTCATTTTCATAATTTAAAAATATATCTTTTTTAATTAATTAGCATTATCACACTATTTATGATACTTCTAGTACTACTACTTAATTATGATAATATCTTTATTCATAGAGCTCTTTTCATTTTGGTGGCAGCTCAAAGTGTTTTACAGACAGGAGATAATGTTTAACAGTAATACAAGAGATTATAATTATTACTTTAAAATCATATAAGACAACCACAGATCAGATTAAAAGATAAACACCAAAGAATCGTAGAGTTTTAATGAAGCGCTGAGTTAAAGAACTGTGTTTACAGATGTTTATTAAAAGTGAACTCTGAGCTTGACTGTCTAATAGAAGGTGAACTGAGCTGCACAGTTTAGAAGCAGAATAACAAAAAGAGTCTCTCCACATTCTCTGTATTTTACGAAGGTGTTTACAGAAGGTCAGTATCTGCAGATCTAAGATCATAAAGAGACAGACAGTCAGGAGCTTTAAAGTCATTTAGAGCTTTAAAAACTAACAGCAGAGCTTTAAAATCTCTCTAAAAGATCCAGACAGTCAGTGCAGTGTGTAAACAGGGTGATATGAGCTCTCTGTGTTGGTGTTGTGAGGATCCGTGCTGCTGTGTTCTGTACGAGTTGTAGAGGAGGGATTGTTTTCTCCAGTAAGAAGATCATTACAGTGATCAGCTACTTTAGTGACTGTGTTTACATGCAGATTAAACAGAGCGCCGAGTCTAAGATCACACTCAGGTTTCCTAATGCAGGTTTGGTAAATGAAGGTTTGGTAAATGAAGATTATATAAAATATATATAAAAAATAGATTCTTGATCATCAGAAGGAATGGAAATGTATAACTGTTTGTTGTCAGCATAGCTATGAAAATTGATATTATGTTTCCTAATGACATCACCTTGAGGTAATATGTACAAAGAGAAAAACAAAGGCCCTAAAACTGAGCCCTGTGACTAAATATGATTTAAACCATTCTAAAGCTGTACCTGAGAGGCCTACAAACAATTGGAATTAGAATCTTGTGATCAAAGGTATCAAAAGCTGCACTAAGATCCAATAAGACCAGCATAGAAGGATTTTGTGCATCAGCGCTGAGCCTGACTTCATTCACAATACGAACCAATGCTATCTTAGTACTACAGTTAGAACAAAAACCTGACTGAAACTGATTATATAACTATAAAATAACATAAAACACGACATAGAAAGTGGAGAACGTGACCTACATGGAAAAACACAAAAACAGAATGACAGAAACAAAATGAGGAAGCCAGTATGGAAATGAAATAGTGCATCTGTTTCAGTGTATTATAATCAAAGATATGAAGAATTTACCAGCTTAAAATGTAGTAAATGGTCTAGGAGCTCTCTCACAACATCCAAAACCATGTTTAAGAATCTACAGTCATTTTTAGCCCTGACCTCAGATTTGACCTGCAAATCAACCCAACAATTTCAAATGTCTTTCGTTTCAAGACTTGAAAAAAGTAATTCCTTTACATACAGATTACTGCAATTCTCTGTATAGGACTTGAAGGAGAATTCCACCTATTTTACCAAATTCCCCACGAATTGAGTGTGTGAGCTGTAAACAGAGTGATTCAGAGTGGTTTGGTGTGAAATGGTTCACATTTCTTTACAGTGGTGGTGATAGGAACCAGGGGTCACCATGACTACAACACAAATATAGACATTTTATTTACCATCCAAAACCACCAGCGAACCTACACGAGTCTTCTGAGTTTTATATGGAATGTTAATGATGGGAAAATTGTGGAAAATCTGAAATGATTAAAGTTTTCTTTGGGGACTATTTTGCCTCACAGCGCGTTGCATGTATCCCTCCACCATGAATGGGGTTTAAGGCTGAAATCTAGTTTTAGGATGGTTTAGTATCTGCTGTGTTATCTTTGGCTCTGGGGTTCTTAGTTAAAATAAAGTGCAGTCAGGGAGCAAAGAACAGCCCTTAAGGTGGCACTGGGGATCCCCTGAGATGAAATGATGAGGCCAATTGGGTGAGAGCTTCTTAAAACCGGGACTGAAGTGGACGGCTGTTCTCTCTTAATTGGCTTCCTGTCCTACACTGCAGCCTCCACCGTAACTCTGCTTCAGATCAGTAACTTTTGTCTGCTCTGAACTTCAACCTACAACCCTATTTCCAAAAAAGTTGGGACGCTGTGCAAAATGTAAATAAAAACAAAATTCAATGATATAGAAATCATTTTAAACCTTATATTTCATTGACAATAGTACAAAGACAACAAATTAAATGTTGAAACTGAGAAATTTTATTGTTTTTGGGAAAATATATGCCCATTTTGAATTTGATGCCAACAACACGTTTCAAAAAAGTTGGGACATGTTTACCACTGTGTTTCATCACCTCTTCTTTTAACAACACTCTGTAAGTGAGACCAATTGCAGTAGGTTTGAAAGTGAAATGTTTTCCCATTCTTGTTTGATACAGGATTTCAGCTGCTCATCAGTTCAGAGTCTCCTTTGTCATATTTTTCATTTCATAATGTGCCAAATGTTTTCGGTGGTGACAGGTTTGGACTGCAGGCAGGCCAGTTTAGCACACGGATTCTTTTAATACAGAACCATGCTACTGTAATACATGCGGAATATGGTTTGACATTGTCCTGCTGAAATAATCAAGGCCTTCCCTGAAAAAGACGTCATCTGGGTGGCAGCAAATGTTGCCAAAACATGTATACATGGTTCAGCATTAATGGTGCCTTCACAGATGTGCATGTCACCCATGCCATGTGCACTAATACTAACCAATCAGTGCTCAGTAGCAGTAATGCTAACCAATCAGCGCTCAGTAGCAGTGATGCTAACCAATCAGTGCTCAGTAGCAGTACTGCTAACCAATCAGAGCTGAGCAGCAGTAATGTTAACCAATCAGTGCTCAGTAGCAGTAATGCTAACCATTCAGAGCTCAGTAGAAGTAATGCTAACCAATCAGCATTCAGTAGTAGTAATGCTAACCAATCAGCGCTCAGTAGCAATAATGCTAACCAATCAGCGCTCAGCAGCAGTAATGTTAACCAATCAGCACTCAGTAGCAGTAAGTTATCAGCCTTCAGTTCTGTGTAAGTGATTAACCAATCAGTGCTCAGTAGCAGTAATGCTAACCAATCAGAGCTCAGTAGCAGTAATGCTAACCAATCAGCATTCAGTAGTAGTAATGCTAACCAATCAGCGCTCAGTAGCACTAATACTAACCAATCAGTGCTCAGTAGCAGTAATGCTAACCAATCAGCGCTCAGTAGCAGTGATGCTAACCAATCAGCGCTCAGTAGCAGTACTGCTAACCAATCAGAGCTGAGCAGCAGTAATGTTAACCAATCAGTGCTCAGTAGCAGTAATGCTAACCAATCAGAGCTCAGTAGCAGTAATGCTAACCAATCAGCATTCAGTAGTAGTAATGCTAACCAATCAGCGCTCAGTAGCAATAATGCTAACCAATCAGCGCTCAGCAGCAGTAATGTTAACCAATCAGCACTCAGTAGCAGTAAGTTATCAGCCCTCAGTTATGTGTAAGTGATTAGAAACTATTTTAACTTATCGTTTTTAGCTATTTAGCTCCATCCACCCCCATTCATTGAGGACTTGCTCACGGGCGCCCCCTGGCGTTTTGCAGTCATGTTTCTGATATAACAGTGGAGGAAGCCAGACTCTTCATAAACCAGTGTGCTGCCCAATCTCGCATCCCGTTCTAATCTTAGCAGAGACAGTTTATGTGGAGCCTGGCCACTTTCTATTTCCCCCCTGTTATATCAAAAACAGGACTGCAAGACAGCAGAGGGCGCCCACGAGTGAGTCCTCAATTAATGGGAGTAAATGGAGCTCAGTGGCTAAAAACAAAAAAGTTAAAAAGGTTTCTAATCACTTTCCTTTAATTTTAGAAAGTGGAAGGGCGTATTTCACTAAAAAAGCAAAGAAAACATACCTTTATACTTTATATTCCCTTTTTTCTACAACAAACGGGTTTTGGGCAGCAGAAAGCTGGCATTACTGCCAGAGAACTTGTAGAGAGGAGAATTACCTCTCTGCAATGTCTTCCGAATTTCTCAAACGCTAGAGGGCGCTCCTGGGCGAGTCCACAATGAACGGGTTGATATGGAGCATTTGAGCAAAATCATGGTTTATAAATGCTTAAACATTTTTAATGTAAAAGAATACAGTCATTTCCTGAACACTAAATAGCATAAACTATTTAACACTGCTGTATATTATATTTTAAGATCATCACGCTCTAGCAGTAATGCCCACCTTCTGCTGCCCTAAACCCGTTTGCTGTAGGAAAAAGGAAATATATAGGTAAAGTTTCTTTGTTTTTTAGTGAAATACATCCTTCTACTTTCTAAAATTAAAATAAAGTTCGGGGCAAGTCATTAGAAACTATTTTAACTTTTCGTTTTTAGCCGTTGAGCGCTATTTACTCCCATTCATTGAAGACTCCCTCGCGGGCGCCCTCTGCTGTTCAGTAGTCCTGTTTTGGATATAACGGTGGGAATAGGAAGTGGCCAGGCTCCCCATAAACCGGCTCTGTTACTGCTACAGAGTGCTGATTGTTTGGCGGCGGAGCAGCTCATTGGCTGTTCGCACTCACAGACTTTTATAATTTCCTTTAACTCGAGTTTAAAAGCTCTTAAAATATAATATACAGCAGTGTTAAATAGTTTATGCTATTTAGTGTTTAGGAAATAAATGTATTCTTTTACATTAAAAATGTTTAAGCATTTATAAACTATGATTTTACTCAAATGCTCCATCTTAACCCATTCATTTTGGACTCACTCGGGGGCTCCCTCTAGCGTTTGAGAAACCCGGAAGAGATTCTCCTCTCTACGCTTCTCTGGCTCCGCCTTACGCAAACGTACGTACGCGCAGACGCATGTTGTTGGACGTAATGACGCAGCCTCGTTTTTGTTAGCGTTCCGGTTAGCTTGGTGCTAACAGCGGCGCGGAGGCCGACAGAGCGAAAAAAATATAAAATATATTCAAATAAACAGAACAGACCAAACAGTCCGAACCGAGCTCTGCCTACAGACAGTGTACGTTGATATAATGCGGTCCGCGGACTGAACCGGGACCGGGATCAGTCTGTAGTTCCTGTTAGCGTCTCTCTGTGAGAACATGTACCCGGCCTGGAGCAGCTTCGGCGGCCCGCCCCGCGGAGCGCCCCCCGCCGGCGGCTTCGGGGGGTTCGGCGGGTTCGGAGCTCCGTCTGGGCCCGCGGCCCAGTCCAACTTCTCCAGCCTGCATGAGCAGCACCTTCAACAGATGCAGCAGCTGCAGCAGCTCCACCAGCGCCAGCTCCAGTCGGTGCTGCACCACCACGGCTCCGGCTCCGGCTCTGGTCCCTGGCAGGCGGGCGCTGCGGGGTTCTCCGCCGGGCCTGGGAGCCTGACGCCGGTCAGCAGCAGCATCAGCGACCCGCCGCAGCTTCCACAACCCAAAGGTCCGCCTGAACCGCCCAAAACTCCCGCACAGGAACCCGCTCCGAAACCCAGCGAGCCTCCAGCGGAGGAACCAGCCGAGAAGACCGACTTCTCCTCCATGACTCTGCAGGCGAGTAGGCTTGCTATTCGAATTTGCCCGTTTCACCTTAACTGATGCAGCAGTTAACTGACACTGTCTCGCTGTTCAGTATAATCTCAGTTAGTGTTAACTTAGTGCTCAAAATCTACATTATTATTTACGTCCTCCAGAGCTCCACGTATACAGCTCGTTTGGTTTAATATACACACTTAAAAAGATGGGTGTTTAGTAAACGTAGTGGTTCTATTCCCAGTCATGAGTTCTATATAGAACGATATGCGTGCTTAAATGGTTCTTTGCCTGGTGAAATGGTTGTTCAGATTGATAGAGAATGTGTTGTATATGGTTCTGTATGGAACCTTTTTGGAAAGGGTTCTGTATAGCGCCAACAAGGACTCTTCTATTGTTACGTACATTGGCAAGCTTGTGTGCAATAGCAGAACCATCGTTAGTGCTATATAAAGCCATATACAACACATTTTCCATCAGTCTGAAGATCCATCTCGCCATGCAAGAGCCATTCTAAATAGAACCACTGACATTAGTAAAGAACTCCTGATGCCTGTAGGAGTGGAGGATATAGCAAAAATGGTACATCATTATACTCCAGGATATTTTCACAACACAGTGTTTTGTTTATTAAGTTAGAACAAAATGGAACCTGAAGGGCCATATGTTCGAATTTCTATAGTAGTAGTAAAAGTAATAACAATAGCAATAATAATAATAATAATAATGAATGTACATGTTTAATTGTTGTATTCAATATTTTACAAGCTGCACTAAATCTAGTTAAACAGGACTAATTATTCTCTCTCTGTAATGAATCATGTAGTGAGTCAGTGTTCTGTAAGTACTGAGCATATCCACAATACACTCAGAAAAGCATTTTAATATACATGATATGGTATATATTTTTTAAGTTAGATCAGGAAAAGTAAGCGCATGTTTTAAAAATACTACCAAAAACTATGAATCGAATCACTTGCATTCAAAAGTTCACACACTGTGCTGCCCTAAAACCAATTAACCAATTAAACAGTGCTAATTATGCTCTCTTTAATCAGACATGTAGGTATTTGGTCTTTAAGTGCTGACGAAATACACAACATACTCAGGAACGCATATTGTGATGTGATTTATCACAATAATGATAAATGTCATATCACCCAACTCTATGATAACAAAATTTCATCATACCAGTATCAAAAACAGCCATAATTCACATTTACATGACCCTCTGTTTTGTCCTAAACTGGCTGTTTTTGTCACTGTGCCTTTAAGACCAGTCTGTGCAAATGAGCAGTGTTCTGACTTGAACGTGCTGCAACACAATGTCAGTCAGTTGTGGTTTGCTGTACACGTCATGTGGACACCTTGCTGCTTCTGTTATTTAGTAAAATTTACCCCACTTTAAACTTGTTCAGACAACATTGATAATATTGGCTTTATTAAACTCTTGATCTGAATATCGTGTTTTGTATATTGTTAATAAATTGTAGGTACATTGTCTCTATGTTGCATATAACAGTAGAGCGACACCAGCGGCTGGAGCCAAATTTCTCACCATACTTGGTCAATAAATCTGATTCTGAGTCTGAATATTGTGCTCTGTCAGACTGTGATAATCTTTCAGCTGCTCTGATTTAAACGTATTGTGAAGTAAAATGAAGCTCATTTGTTTTTGATCAGTGGGTGTAGTTCTGAAATGTGCCACAGAAAAAGTCCCGATTTTGGTGGATTGCTTAGATAAAAGATGCTGGAGAAGATAAAGAAATCTTCCTCACCACTTTGAGTTATGTTCTTTACTCCAAATGACGAACTAGAACCTCCTTAAACCGGAAACATACTCAACGCAAGTAAAGTAAAAGTAAGTAAATGCAAATGAAAACGCTCAGTCCTTCTGTACAAACTCACTGTGTTTTTACGTTACTGTGGCGGTTAAAACACTCTGAAGGGGGCGCTAGAGGGCCAATCAGAGAGGATCTACTGCGATTCCAGCACCTTCAACAGCTGAATGAGGACAGTATAGGAGAGTGTGCTGCTTTACCTCTTCTGCTGAAATTGAAAGGCAATATTGGATTGTATTTTTATGATTATGTAAACCGTCTTTGCCTGAGACTCAGCTGCGATTTCTCATTCACCAGCTTCTTGTTTTCCCGTTCTACCTTAAATTGTAGTATTCTGGTGCCTGAGACGGCAACGTTTAAGGTGGAATGGAAAAAATTGAACAAGAAGCTGGCAAATAAGAAGCGACTTCAGCCTCATGTAAAAGTTGCTAATTTGTTGTGAATATCTACACAGATTAAGTAATGATGTAACTTACCTACAGTGCTTACTCAGCATTATTAGTCATTATAAATGAATAAATAGCTACTTACTGTTAAATCAAGTTAAGATCCTCTGTACAGGCATACTTAAAATAAAACCAGAGGAAGCACAATCACACCATCAGGTGCTTTACTGACCATATCTACTCATAAACTTCACGCAAACAATAAACATAACACAAACATGAGCGTGGATCACTATGTTCTCTCCGTTATATAATCTTTTCCCTTTTTCTGAGTGCAGTATTTTTGAAATAGTATAATTTTGGACAGTACTTTTCTTACTTTGCCGCTCTGTAATGGTACTGAATGCTGAGTGCAGTCCAGCAGTGATGTTAACCTACCTGAAATGGCGGCTCAGTTGACGTGCCTGGCTAAACCCAACACAGCATCTATGTATGTATATCTATAGTGTGGGCTGTCACAATAGCGCCCCCTCCTGTAAAGGTCAGAATGCGGGCCCTGCTTGCCTTGCGCTATGAAATGTGTTGTGACACATTTTTGTATGTGAATCTGTGTCTGTGTATGCCGAAGCGTGTGTTCGCGTGTTTGCGTAAGGTATGTTTCTGTCCTGACTGTGAAGTAAAGTGTGTCTTTACCTCCTGCAGGAGCAGCAGGAGTACTGGTACAAACAGCACCTTCAGAACTTACAGAAGTTAAAGAATGAAAAGGCGAAGCAGAACCAGAGTGCAGTTGGGGGTCTATCCAGAGGAACTGAACAGACCTCCCCAGCTCCTCCACCTCCTGCTGAACCCCCGAAGAGCGCACCTCCTCCACCACCTCCGAAAGAGGAGCCTCCCCCTCCCCCTCCACCTGAGGACACTAAGGTATCAGACATTCCGCTCTGCTCCTCAGTCCAGTTTAAACCATTACAGGGGAACTCCCCCCTTTTTCTAAAATTCCCCTATAATTCAGATGTAAACAGAGTGACTCAGAGTGGTTTGGTGTGAAATGGTTCAGATTTTTTTTACAGTGGTGGTGATAGGAACCAGGGGTCGACATGATTACAACACAAATATAGACATTTTGGTTACTACACACTTAAAAATGGCAGTTCTTCAAGGGTTCTTCAGTAAAGAAAATGGTTCTATACAGAACCATGAACACTCAAAGAACCCTTTGCATGATTAAAGGGTTTTTTGCATTATGAAAGCGTTCTTCAGATTGATGATGAATGTGCTGTAGATGGTTTTATATAGCACCAAAAAGGGTTCTTCTATTGTTACAGACTTGAAGTCGTAATAATAAAAGAGCACTTTTTGATGCTATATAGAACCATCTACAGAACGTTCTCCATTTAATCCTTTAATCATGCAGAGTTCTTTGAGTGTTTCATGGTTCTATATATGGTTCTAACTTTTGCTAAAGAACTCTTGAAGAACCATCATTTCCATGATGGGAAAATAATAGAAAATCTATTTTCTTTGGGGACTATTTTGCCTCACAGCGCCCTGAATGTAGCCCTCCACGTTGAATGGATTTTAAGTTCAGACATCAGACCATGTATTCATAACCATTTCATGTAACAACTTTTGGTGAGGGAGCTTTTAGAGGTGGACGCCTGGTTCCTATCACTACCACTGTGAATAATTCTGACTTGATAAGTTTCTCTAGAACTGAGCGTTTCACACTGAACCACTCTGTTTACATCGTAAACGTTTAATTGTGCTGAACTTTTAGGAATTGATTCTGGCGTGCATTAGGGTTTGTTTGTTGTTTGCCTGTTGTGAAAGTTGAGGAAGAGAAATTCCCACAATAATATCATTCTAACACGTTAGGTGTAAAAATATCCAGATTTTTTAGTTTCTGTTTCATTTTTGGTAAGCTCCTCAGGAGGAAAAAGCACATTCAGTTAAGTGTGGGTGTGGCTATTACATAAGCCCCACCCACTCCACGCTAATAGGCTGCCTGGTTTTGAACACTGACAGTGGTTTCAGTAAAAGCAAGAATTGAGAAATCCTCTGAAGTGAGTGAGGGGCGAATCAGCCATACAGCTTTACATTCACTGTTCATAACCTCATCATTTTTACAGTTCATAGTCAATTAAAGGTCATTAATTAAATACCAAAACATTTAATAAAGTTTTCACAGTGGTACTAAAAAGAAATAAACAACAAATGACCTCAGTTTTTTCTTTATTTCAAAAAGTGAAATGTTTTAAGCCTTTTTTGTTTTTAAAGAATGTTTCATATTTGAACATAAAATGCAGAAGAATATTTGAATGTTGCAGCTTGAGGTGGGCGATATGGAAAAATGTCACCAGGATAGAAGGTTTTTTGATGCACAATATGTTATGATATTTATTTTTTCTGAAGTTAAAATAGAAAAAGAAAGCCCAAATTTTAAAAATACTGTCAAAAACTATAAATTTAGTTATTTGCATTTAAACTACTAAATCTGATTACAGGGCTAATTATGCTCTCTCTAATCAAACATGCACTTGTGAAGTGATTTTTAAATACTGACGACATCAATGTTATACTCAGAAAAGCTTATAGTGATGTAATTCATCACAATAATGGTAAATGTTATATTCATCTAAAGTTACACTGACCTTCTGAAAGATTTTTCTGGGCATTCAGTAGTTAAACGTCAAATACGAACTTAATTTATGTAGAGAAATTTAACTAAAATTAATGCTGTGAATTGTTTTAGGATACTTTAATTCCAGTGAGATCATTCAGATATCTGTCTGTGGGCTTTCACGGGCCCCTATCAGCATGAATCCAAGTCCACATCTCTACCTCTGAACTGCCTGTGTGGATTTTTCTTTAGTCGCTCTGTTCCCTGTTTTAGCCCAGCGGGGTGTCTGAATCCGGAGACCCGGTAGAGGCGGCTCGTCTGCAGCAGTTACAGGCGGCAGCGGCTCAGTGGCAGCACGTTCAGCAGCAGAGAGCTGGGTACCAGTACCAGGCGCTGATGCAGGAACATGCTCAGCTCCAGCAGGTCCTGCAGCAGTACCAGCAAGTCATTCAGCAGCCAGCACATCTACAGGTATGAGCGTTAGTGCCGAATCAGGACTCAGCATCACACGTTTAATGATCTTTGAGATGGACCACATTAGACTCTAAGTAGAGTGTGTGTGCACTTCTTTTTGTCTTTACTTGCTCCAGTGATGTTCAGGGTTCCAGATTTAGGCCCAATCCCATTTCACCCCTTGCCCCTACCACTTAGCCCTCTGTTTTGCGCGTCCCAATTTTTGTTGAGATAGAGGGGTAGGGCGAAGTGATAGGGCTACGTGGCCCTTCAAAAGGCGGTTTTTCAGAGGCACACTTAAAGCGAAGTGTTATGAGAAAAAAAGAAAAACCGGCAAGATAGTTGCGCGAGCGTCCAAAGAAACCTATAAATGTATTTTCTCTGTTAAAAAAATTACGATAACCATTGTATTGTCTTAGTTTAATTATCTTAGTTGGTCGTTTTCTCCATAACAAGCATAAAAAAGTATGCTAATGTCTCGGTAGCTAGCTAGCTAACTTTCTCGTTCCACCTTAAATAGTCCAGCAGTATTGACGCCTGATATGCCAGAATGTAACTGCTGCACCATTTAAGGTGGAACAGGAAAATTCGAAACAAAGAGCCAGTGAATAGCTGACTTCAGCTCCGTACTACCAAAGAATTAGCGGTGGGTGATAATAAATAATGGTCTTATACCCCCTCTTTGAAAGCATATGATTCCCTAAATGTAACTAAAGCCCAGCAGCGAGGTTGCTGAAATTTTCCCTTCTCTGCTATCACTGAAGACGGGCCAGGTCGCCTACAGAGCACCGCTAGTAGATTGTGAATGAAGCAATGTGTTTTTTTTATTTATTTATTTAGTTATTTTTTATTTGAGGGTTGTCCCATTTCATAGGGCACGATTTCAACCACTACCCCTTGTAACACAGTTCGAAAACAAGGGGTAGGGGTAAAACGAAGAAATGGGATTGGTCCTTAGTGTTCTTTCCCAGTAGAGACTTAGCTTTTCCGCAACATGGGTGAGAGAGCAAGACACAAAACCAAGAGCAGATGCAGAATTTTTATTACGTAGATGGTAATCAAGGGTCTTAAGCCCTGTTAGGATGGGATAAGGTCTCCATGGGGAGATGGGTGGTGCCAGTTTACCTCAGGATGTCGGTAAAGTTTGACTGATTCGCACAGGATTAAAAATTTCAGAATAAATAACAGAGATGGAGCAGCTGCTCGATTTACGCACCACTTTCAGTCCAGAAAAAAGTGGATAAGATGTTGGCGATATGGAAAAATGTCATGAGGATACTTCAAGAAGGTTTTTATGATGCACAGTATGTTATGATATTTATTTTTTCTGAAGTTAAAATAGAAAAAGAAAGCCCAAATTTTAAAATTACCGTCAAAAACTATAAATTTAGTTATTTGCATTTAAACTACTAAATCTGATTACAGGGCTAATTATGCTCTCTCTAATCAAACACGCACTTGTGAAGTGATTTTTAAATACTGACAACATCAATGTTATACTCAGAAAAGCTTGTAGTGATGTAATTCATCACAATAATGGTAAATGTTATATTTATCTAAAGTTACACTGACCTTCTGAAAGATTTTTCTGTGCATTCAGTAGTTAAATGGGATGGGATAAGGTCTCCATGGGGAGATGGGTGGTGCCAGTTTACCTCAGGATGTCGGTAAAGTTTGACTGATTTGCACAGGATTAAAAATTTCAGAATAAATAACAGAGATGGAACAGCTGCTTGATTTACGCACCACTTTCAGTCCAGAAAAAAGTGGATAAGATGTTAAAACATTTAATTTAGCTGTTATTTCATTTACTCTGACCATTTACCCTTCAGTTTTAAATGAGTGCAGTGCATCATTAGCATCACCATTAGCCTGAATTCACAACTTCACTGCATAAAATCAGTCTGTAATGTTTACATGTTCTGAGTTGTACGGGTGAGGCAGGACAGTAACGTCACGTATCAGCCTGATCTTATCCTCAGAGAACAATGAGGCTGAAGTGGCTTCCTATCCCCCAGCTTCTTGTTAAAATTTTCCTGTTCCACCTTAAATGGTGCAGCAGTTACATTCTGGCACCTGAGACATTATAGTAACTGTGGCACCATTTAAGGTTGAACATGAAGCTTCTAATAAAAAGCTGCTGATTTCAGAGAACACAAGTAAGTGCTTTTTTAAACCTCTGTACTTAAGAAACTCCTTTCCACAAGATATGATGGACATGTAGATTCACATAGGATTCATTTAATCAAGTTATTTTTATGGCTCATTTTACAGAAGATTGTCATTTTTACTGACACAGGATCATTTAATTATGCATTCGGTAAAAATGACTGACATGACTCATTCAGACTGGAAAAAATCACTGAGAAAGGCCATGAGTAATCACATTACCCTCCTCCTCATGTAAACTAATCCTGTCTGGATAGGGCTTTAGTTGTCTGAAATTTCATCTAGGTGAATATTAACTGTCAGATCAATAAAATAACTTTGCACAGTACAGTGGTAATGTATGTTGTTGACAGTTTTGTAATGATATTTGGTTGTGTATTAGTAGAGATAAGATTGTGTTTGTTTTGGTTTCAGAACAGGGCTGCAGGAATTCGCAAAACCCAGAAAAAGTGTCCCACGTCTGTATTGTTGACATTTCATCAGTATAATGTAGGGCTGGGCGATATGGCCAAAAATGTTATCACGATAAAAAACTCATATCATCAAATCATTATTTCTTGCAAGTCTGAAGGCTGATATTTGCTCCTGGGTTGTTAACTGCTGTTTTAAACTATCCTTTATGGTCAGAACACGACAAACACTCACCAAACAGTGGAACATTTCACAAATATGTGATGGCATAGCAGGAGAAATTTTCTGGTGAGCTGTTTTTGCCAGCTGGAAAAGCACGGCCACATTTTTTGTAATAGTCATAATTTAAGAAAGAGAACAGATTATTTTAGCTGTCTGGTGACGAGTGCTAGGCTACGCTAAACTGTTTAGTTTCTTAACAACATCAGCTTAGTACGAACAGCAAACGTTAGCTGGCTCGGTAGGTCAGTGATGGATCACACGGCCTTACTGCCATCTCTCCTGCCACATCCATGTCAGAGTATATCACAGAGCTTGAGTATATACCGAAGCTAGCAGACGTCTGGATTTTTCTATTGTGTTGTAGTAGTTTGAAAGTTTGAGGGGTGAACTGCAATTTATCTGACACTCGCTGTGTAAAAGCATTAACTGCAGTGTGAATCTCTCGCATCAGACAAACAGAGTTCTCCTTTTAGGTACGTTTAAACTGAAATCAGTGCTTTTTTTGTCATGTGTGGTCTACAGTAACAGCAATCCACCGTGCTGTGTGAGTGACTGCGCTACTTCAATTTAGCCAGCTGCTAAAAACAGCTAGCCTGGAAAGATAGCGCTCTCCCGCTCTCCAGTGGCCCGCACACAGAATCCTCAGTTTACTTTCGTTTAAATCAGGGCTGTAACTTGCATGAACCCACGTCTTTCTTTCACTTTTGTTGAACATTTTTTATACTTCTATTGAGGAAAATTATATCACGATAATTATCGTTACCATTTTATCGCTCAGCCTAATATAATTTATTTGGGATCTCATGTTTTCCTCTACTGTTACAAAGATCCTGGAATGTGGGCCAGGCGTTACGGTCATGTGGCTTTGGGTTTAGATAAGTGTTTTAATTGAACATGTAGAGCTGAGTACAGGTGCATGAGTCTTTGCTTCTTCTTGTCTCCTCTTCAGACAATGCCCATAGACATGCAGTTGCAGCACTATGAAATGCAACAGCAGCAGTTTTCTCCAGTGCTGCAAGAGTGGGGCAGACACTTTAAACTCTGGCTGGAGCAGTTTCAGGCGTATCCTCACAAAGACCAGCTCCAGGACTATGAAGGCCAGTGGAGACAGTGGCAGGAGCAAATGAACTCAACTTCAGCACATCTTCATGAGAGAGTCACTACACTGAGAGCCATGCAGCAACAGTATGGTGCCGCTGACCCCTATGGAAGTATGATGGGACCATATGGACAGACTAGGCCTCCTGGACCAGAGGCACACATGCAAATGACTGGCCAGATAGGCCCCTCCATGCCACCAAACAATATGGATCCGTCGTCAGCTCCCCGTTTTCAAGGCCCGCAGAGCGTACCAGGCTCAGATGCTCCTGAATTGCGCCCACCTGCAGGACTAGAGGATCCCTCTGAACCATACAAACCTGCTGGTCCACCTGGTCCTCCGGCAAGACAGCCTGGTCCTCATGGAAGATTTGAAGGGCCTAGAGGTCCAAGGTAATGAAGGGTCATAACACAGAGTAATGCAGATTAGATATCTTAGATGTTTACACTAGTTCAACACTGATTTATTGGAATAGCGTTCTCCTTTATTCACTGATAGAGTACAGTACTTATTTGAAAATTGTTTTGTTGACTTTACGTTGTTGTTTTTAGGTTTGAAGGACCTAGGGGCCCAAGATTTGAACCTCCACCACAGCAGCGCTTTTGTGGGCCTCCTAGATTTGATGCTGGTCAGAATTTTGCGAGACCTCCCAGAGGTAATCAGATTCGACCAGGGGCTCCAGGAAGATTTGAGAATCCCCCAAGGCAGAGTCCACCCTCTCGTTTTGAGAGACCTCCTGGGCCACCTCCTGGACCACCCCAACAGCCTGTCTCAGTCTCCCAAGACAAGCCTGGTCCTTTAAATCAAAACAAATTTCAGCAAGATAAACCTAATGAAGCACAAGGTCCTCAATCTCAGAGCGCAACCACTGGCCAGAATGACAGCAAAACACCTCAAGAAAAAACACCCGCTTCTAAGTCCATGTCAGATGATGTAATGGATTCCAGTGATGGATTTTTTGTTCAAAGTGAGCCTATTCCTCAAACTCAGAGGGATACAAGCAAGAAAGCTGACGAAGCTGCCACACAGACTGCTAAAATGGAGGAATTGGCAAAAGAGACCTCCAAAACACCTGTATCAACATCCTCATCGGTTCTACCAAAACCACCTCTTAGCACTCCCAATAAAACACCTCAAAACTCAAGTTCAGATCCACTAAAACCTAATAGTGCAAATAACGGGCCCCAGCAACGACCAAAGCCCCCACAACAAGGGCCATTTAAACCAGATATGCCCATGGAGCCTCCTGGTGGCCCACAAGAGGTTATGCAGACTGGTCCACCACGTGCAATGCGGGGTAGGGGAAGGGGCCAGGCCCCTTTACCAATGCGAGGAAGAGGTCGTGGACGTGGTCGTGGACAATATGGTGGACCAATGGGTCTGTCTCCGACATCTGACCCCAGTTTCGCAGAGGAAGGTCCCTATGACCACCAGCCACCAGCTGAGGAGCAGGAGGACTATGCTTGGCGAGAACGACCTCAAATGACGGACGACCAGGGACCCCATGAAATGTGGCAACCGGAAGAGCATCACTTCTCAGAAGAGTATTATGAAGAGTCCGAAGAACATGGCCCACCTAGAGGTCCACGAATGGAGCCCCCAGAGGGTCCAGAAGAACACTGGCAAGAAGAACAGTCAGAATACTGGGGAGAAGGAGATCCGTACTGGAAAGAGAGAAGGCCACAGATGCACCATAGACCCCCCTTTCCTCCTGAAGGACCTAGGCGCCCTCCTTTCCATCCTCGCTTTATGCCCCATGGCCCACGTCGTCCTCCTCCACCAGGCGCTATGGAACATGACCCACATGGTCCACCCCACATGAATAGAGAACCTATGGGACCTCGATTCAGACGTGGAGCCGGTCCCTGGGGACCACCACCACGCCATGAGATGATGGGGCGAGACATCCGGCGGCCACCTCCACCTCATGAAATATTGGATAGAGACCCGATGGGCCAACCAGGTTACCATGATGAAATGGACAGGGAACATGATTGGCCCCCTCATCCTCATGGCAGGGAACCCAGGCCTCCCCACCCTCCCTTGCCACTTCGTGAAATGATGGAGAGGGAGATGAGAAGGCCACCCATGCGACCCCCTCCAATGCCAAGAGAGAGGTGGCGAAGACCCCCACCCCACCTTGAAGACTCTGGGGGAGCATATGATGAAGAATACAACAACGAATATGGTCAGGAAGAAGATGGATACAGAAGACCACCACCTGATTACCGTCAACGGGATTATGAGGAAGGTGAGGAGTATTACCACCCACGTGAGGACTGGGGAAGACCGCGCCCAGACCGTGACTTTCCTCCACATCCACCACACGGGCCACCAGAGCGTCTAAGAGAAGATCAGTGGAGGGAGGAGAGGGAGAGACCCTCACCATATGACGATGAAGATCAGATAAGAGCAGAACGAAGAGGATCTGGCTATGCCAATGGCCCTCCTTTTCGAGACAGAGATAGGGAACCCCCTTTCCATTCACGCCCTGATTGGGAAAGACAGCCACTGCCTCCTCCTCCACCACCAGAGAGAACGTACCCTCATCACATTGAAGAACCACTTTATGAAAGAAATCCTGAGCTTCCAGCAGGACCAGCTCCTCCAGCCACAGTGCCCCCCAGCAGTGCTTCTGATGCTCCACTTGATCAGACATCTCCAGGGGCAGCTAAAGCTGTGCTCGCTCTTTCTCAAAGGCAGCATGAGATCATTCTCAAAGCAGCTCAGGAGCTGAAAATGATAAGGTAAGAATTGTATGCAGACATTCCTATAGGGGCTTCCAATCTTCCAATCTTTTCTGCAAAGAGTTTTGGTTCACCCAAGTCAGGGCACACCTGATTAATTGTGAACGTGCAAGAGGGACACACAATTTATGGATAAGATTGCAAGGTTTACCCCTGCATCAGTTTGTATCACATTGGTTTTGAAGAGAGAGATTTTTTTTTTCCCCCTTGTTGGCTTTGCTAATAGAGAGCTACAAGAGAGTAAGAAAGTTTTTGGAGATGCCTCTACACCTGAATCTGCTGGACTGCCACCTGAGATTCCTGCTGGTCTCCTTGGACTAGAAATCCCTCCTGAGGTTAAAAGTGCTCTTCAGGTAAGCCTTTGATTTGTTTATAACCCTCTCGTTTACGATTGTGGTCTTGTAGATTATTGTAAAATTAATTGTATTTGTCTCTCTAAAAGGCTACCAATCTGCTGTCTGAAACTGGGCAGGCTGTTCCCGTTAGACCCTTGGAAGCCGGGTTGCCCTCAGCAACACCAGTTACAGATTTTCTCCATACAGCCTCAGCGCCAGCCCCTGCGCCCACGTTCATTGCTAAAACAGTGGACTACGGTCATGGTCACGGTAAGTCTTGAAGATGTTAGTTGGCTGAATTTTCAAAATATTATTTGATGTTTTCAAACAAAAAGTCATTTTGTATCTTCTGTAAAACAGATGTAGGCACCAAAGTGGAGAGAATCTCGTATGGTGAAAGAATAGTTTTGAGGCCTGATCCACTGCCGTCTGATCGCTATGAGAAAGGTTGGTTCCTTAGAGTTTTACAGTTAACACTGGAGACTGGTTCATGTTCTGTTGATATTCTGATGTGTTTTATGCCTCCTTTATTAGAACCTCTTGGCCGTCGAGACCCATACTATGACAGAAGAGCTGATCCATACATGGACCAGCGGGAGTATGGAAGGGAATGGGAAAGAGACGTGCTCCGAGACAGGCCCCCTGCAGATTATGACCGTGAACGATATGAAAGAGAGCGCTACTCCCGAGATGAGAGGTGTGCTGTTTTAGAGTGTCTTATAAGTGACCTGCCAGCCAGTACGCTGTAGTTCTTCCCTTCACCTTATGGTGGCAGCAGTGCTGTAAAATTAGTGTCATGCGCTGCTTTGTGGTAATGAAAGTAGCTAAATTTTTAAGAGCCTTTCTTCTCTGACTAGACCTGCAGCTTCATTTACTGACCCACATTTGCAGCCATAAAGCTCAACTCAACAAAGAGAACTGGCAATTTCAGAGCGATGGAATTTTTCCTATTTTATGGTGAATTGTTGAAATTATTGCATCATTGACAGTTTTGATAATTCAAGTGCAAATTGGCCCTCTTTAGGCTATTGAAGTATTATGTTTAGATTTACACACCCTTCTGCATGATGTGAGTTTGTGCAAATACGCCAAAAGATGAAACTGATCAGTAACAAAACTGTGGTGAAATTTGTGCGTGCTCATTTTACTATCGGATTTGACTGTATGTTTTGAGTGTTTGTCCTGCAGATGTTTGACTATTTGTAGTCAAAATAATGTGCTTATTTTGGATATTGTATCCTTGACTGTCCCTGTGTCTCGTTTAGGCCTCCCCCAGGCCCTCCGCGGACAGGATACAGGGACCGTGAGAGAGACCTGCGAGACCACCAGGGGCGTTCTAGCCGGGATCGAGAGCTTTACAGCAGGCCGGGCTACGACAGGTCTTCCTATGAGAGAAGTCTCGAGCGTTATGACCATGGTCCCTCAGGCTATGGAAGTGAGTAAAAGAGAGATCTGGGTTTGTAAACTGAAAGGGGAGTTTAACAGCCAGTTTGGAAGCAAGTGATGTGTTTCTGTAATTAAGAACCTTTATAGATTTAACCTGTCACCTACACATCAACAAATCCATCTGTTCTGCCTTCTTTGATCCCTCTCTTTGCCTCCGCTATCTTTAAAAGTGTCAGGTATACGACAAGCAGATTTTTCTATAGTGATGGAAGCCATACCACCAACAAAACCTTTTCTTAGGGATGTACGGTGAGATAGTATCAGTATCTACAAATATTTACTTATATAAAACATATTAATTATCATATATCAGACTGGTGTTTGGAAATGGCTAATATTTGGTGATGGATCTCCAGAGCAGAGTGTTTAGGTGACTCTGGGTTTTTGCACTAAAATCTCTGCAGTTTATTTTACTGCCTTCATAACCGTTAATAAATACAACCACTAATCAGTGATATATTTCTGTGTATGATTAGCCACTTTTTATTTTTAAAGGGGACCCATTATGCTCATTTTCAATGTTCATAATTTTATTTTTGGCTTTACATGAATAGATTTACAGCTTCAGTGTTCCAAAAACTCCGCTGTGGCTGTTTCTCCAGTGGCCTCGATTCTGCCGTAGTTTGATCCAGAGTTGATCCTAAAAGTCAGGTCAGCGTCTTTTCCACACGAGTACAACACTGAAAACACTCTTCCTCCTCCAGTAGCTGCTGTGCGCTGTGTAAGGGATATGCCAAGCTTGCCGGTAGGTGGGCAGTAAGGACTGTGTTACGAGATTGCATCATCTTCTAACAAAGGAAGAGGGCTGGAATTCCAATGAGGCCAGTTTCAGGCAGCAGAGAAAAGTGGTTTCTTTGGGAGAGTTTTTCTCCCTCTGGGGGGAACCTTGAGCTTTGTGTCTTTGCAGAACGTTTACATGCACAAAACAATACAACACACTAAAGGTAAGAAAAACGCAAGAGTACACAAAAACGGAAAAGCAAAATAGGTCCCCTTTAATAATCAAATTTATTGGATAATTGTTGCAGTCCTACCTGATTTCTGTTGAAACGTGTCTAATCTGGGTATTCCTTCCTTTCAGATGACCGGCGGAGTTATCCCGACGAACGGCCTCCTCCCTCAGCGTCCCTGCCGCCCCCTCCCCCTCCTGCCCCACGAGTGGAGAAGAAACCAGAGACCAAAAACGTAGAAGATATTCTGAAGCCACCTGGTCGAGTGAATCGTCCTGACAGGGTAGGACTTTAGGCTCTTTCTGATCCGCTCTGGTCTTTTATTGTGATGTGCTGCTTCAGCAAGGTGTTTTTGTTTACATTTCAGATTGTGGTGATAATGCGAGGCCTACCAGGAAGTGGAAAAAGCCACCTGGCCAAACTCATTCGGGTGAGTCATTCAGTTCTACATCCACATCTCCAGCTGATGTGGGTAATGTTGATCGTTACGTTGGATCAGTGTAGAGGTCGACCGATTATCAGAGCAGATATTTATCTGATAATCAGCATTTTAACTTCTTCTCTGCTGATAAAATGACTTTTACGTGATGAATGCAGATCTCTAATGCAGTCATGACTGAAAAACACTTCTGGCTTTTCCCGCGCACAGCTTTACTGATTGGAGCAAAATGGACGTGTCAGGTTTGACTAATAAACACGTCTAAATCAAAACGTCTGTTTAATTTTTATGTTTCAGGAAGATATTTATTTAATTACGTTTGTTTCAGAGCTGTTTACAAGCTAGCTTAGTCTGTGTAAAGTTTCCCTTTACAGTTTTTTTTGCATCATAATTTCCAAATGTTTGTACAGTCTGGAAACTCCATATGGTTTATTTTTTATAATGGTATAGTGTTTGTTTCATTAATGTTTCATGTAGAAAGTGTGTTTCACATTTAAACTCCAAATACATGGTGAATGAATATTAGCTGAGGGGCTGTAAGGCAAAAATTTAACATCACAATACTCAAACAGTTTCATGATGCATGATATGCATCACAATATTAAGTTTTCTTGAGGTTTGATAAGTTATAACAGAAAAAACAGAACCAGTAGTGCCACGTTTAAAAAGTACTGTGAAAAAACTATGAACACAGTAATGTTTGTTGAATGTTTCACAAACTCCGGTGCATCAAATATAATTAAGCATATTTGATTATTAGGGATAAGTATTGTTCGGATTTTATAAATACTAATATCAGTGCAGATATTGTTTGTCGATACGCATACTTGCCGGTGCTCTTATTGATTCTGCGCTCATAATTTGGTGCAAAAAAATTCATTTGAATTTGCCCGTTCCACCTTAAATGATGCAGCAGTTCTGATGCATGAGAAGCCAGAATGTAACTGCTGCACCATTTAAGATGGAATGGGAAATTTAGCTAGTTAGCTACTGAGACATCAGCTACTACTAGCGGTTTTTAATGCTTGTTATGAAAAAAGGACCATAATACACTGAAACGACATTAAACTAAGATAATACAATGATTATTGTAATTTTTAACAGAGAAAATTCTCACATTTGTGAGGTTTCTTTGGTCTCTTTGGCAGCCATCTTGCTGCTTTTCTTTTTTTCTCATATCACTCTTTTGGGGGTGTGTCTCTGAAAAACACGTACCCCTACCCCTAGACGTGAAAGCGCAAAACGGAGGGGTAGAGCTAAGTGGTAGGGGCGAGGGGTGAAGTGGCACTGGGCCTACTTATGCTCTCCTTGTGATGAAACATGTAGTACGTCAGTGTTCTTTAAGTACTGACAATATCCAAAGTATGCTCAGTAAAAATATTGTGGCGTAGCGTATCACAATAACGATATTTTATCGTGTTGCCCACCCCTAATATCAGCTCTGTGTATCAGTTATCAGTCTCCTTGTTTATTAATAATTGTATCAGTTTCAGATCTGAAAAACATAAGTCAACCCTCAGATGGGTGCATTGCTGTTCTGAACGAAAGCACCACATAACCTGAAAGAGATGAACCTGGATGGAGGATGTGACAGATTTGCTTAAATGTGCTCTTCATATGAACTTTGAGTGTCTGCTGTTCCTCAGGATAAGGAGGTGGAGTGCGGTGGAGCTCCGCCGCGAGTGCTCGGCCTGGATGACTATTTCATGACAGAAGTTGAAAAAGAGGAGCGAGATCCTGATACGGGGAAACGTGTGAAGACAAAGGTCTGAGCGAAGTGCACTGTTCATTTAAAATTATTTGGTGGTGCTTAAGAGGTTTCTATAAAGTACTGCATCCACTTTTCAGGTCCTTGAATATGAATATGAGCCGGAGATGGAGGACACATACAGAAACAGCATGCTGAAAACCTTCAAGAAGACTCTGGATGATGGGTTCTTCCCCTTCATCATCATTGATGCCATAAACGACAGAGTGAAATACTTCGATCAGTTCTGGAGCGCAGCTAAGACAAAGGGCTTCGAGGTGAGTCGTCCCATCTGACACTGAAAGACAAAATCACAAAGTTTGACAATCACAGTATTACAGGCAAACTGACAGTTCAGTTTAGTGATGCATCGATACCATTTTTTCCAGACTGAGTACGTTGTAAGTACTCGCCAATACCGATTCTTATTCCATTAGGCAGACAACGGTACAGTCCACAGTTTGGTATGCATCACGGCTTTTGAGGTACAGTAACGGTACAGTTTCGGTGTCTTTTATATTTAAGATAAACACATCACTCTTTAAACAGCGAACTTTTTATTTTGCCTACAGAAAAATAAAACGTTACCTTTAGAAAAATGACTGGGCTGGTTTCGGTCCGTTTTAAAATTTTTAAATAAACATGGGCATCTGTGTCCGTTTCTCTCATGACCTGTCATGGTGTTTGGGAATTTCTTTGCTGCTGAAATGTGTGTATGAGGACACTGTAAAGGCCGCCACACACCGGATGTCATGTAGACGAGCGCTGTTATAGAACAGCAACAGAGAGAGTGAATAAATGGAAAGTTCATTTTTACCCTCAACTTGTATAAACTGAATAAAATAGAGCGTTTAGCATCTTGTCACGCTTGGCATCAGTTTACTGCCTCTACATAGACTGTCCGTTTACGAGCTGAAAGATACAAGCTGAAAAGGCTAGGCTAGTAACATTAGCTAATTTAACTTACCATTAGCTGTTTACCTAAAAGACTGGCTGCTGGAATCACGTGCACCACTGCATGTCAACGCTGAGTGCCTTCACCGGTGTGTGGACATTCATTAAAAACAGGTTTTGAATTTTTGGGTGCTACATGATGTGTTCGGTGTGCAGTGGCCTTACCAACTCCTCTCTGTCTCGCTAGCGCTCGCCATTGTCACGTTGGAGCCGAGAGATTTGTTTTCAGCCCCACTTTTCTCTTCTCCAGCTTATATTTGCATAGAGAGCACTTATTGGCTCCAGAGATGCTCTGATTGGCTTCAGAGATGCTCTGTGAGTCTGAATGTACAGTGTGTGTGCAGTCCAGTTATAGGAAAATAACAGGCATATTGTAATACCGTGATTCATGTGGGTGAATTGAACCATAGATGTTAGTGTAAATGAGTGTAATGTACCTTAAGAGTTAAATGATTAAAATCCACATGATTTTAAATGAAGTGCATTAGCTAGCTATGCTACACTAGTTATCTTGGATTGAGTAGCACAGCAGTGGAGAAGAGCAGGTGTTGTTCACAGTAGGACGGTATGGTCTCTCTACAGCCTGATTCACAAATAACACCGTATTAACATTTATACCTCGTTCTATTTAGTCAAACACAGTAAAGTCAGCATAGATGGACTTTGTTAGGAAATGGAGACTTTTTCCTTCTCCATTCAGCTGTCCTGCGTGTCTCCACCCAAATTGGAGAAGCGGTTGTGATTGTGTGTTTATAAACGGTCAAAAATTTCAGTATATTCCTGGTGGGAATCTGCCAGATCTGCCATTGTTTAAAGTGACCAACGGCTTTGTGTCCGACTGTGACTGAGTCAGTAACTCTTCTCTGTGTGAGCAGATCCTCCTTTGCTGTACTTGTTCATTAGTGTTGCACTTGGTTTACAGTACAGCTGGTATCGGAATGTTGGTATTGGTGAATTTTTATTAGGAAGAGTAAATGAGCGCGGTATCGTCCCAATACCAGTACCAATATCGATGCATCCCGTGTTTAGATATTACAGGATGTTGGCAGCTGATCTGTCTCTCATCTCTCAGTTATGCATTGTTTCTCTTTGTCTGAACAGCTGTAAAGTACCACGTTCTATAAGCGAAAATCAAACATATTGACTTTATCTAGAAGAACACTAAAAATACAATAAAGCAGGTTCTCTTAGAAAGAAAAAGTAAAAAAAAAAAGCTCTCTGTGATCAAAAGATGATAGAACTGTAGAAAAGAATCTAGAATGTAAATGTGGATTTATTGATTCTGGGGTTCCACACAAAAATGGTTCTTCAAGGGTCTTTAGTAAAGACAATGGTTCTATACAGAATCATGAACATTCCAAGAACCCATTCCATGATTAAAGGGTTCTTTGCATGGTGAAATGGTTCTTCACATTGGTGGAGAATGTGCTTTTTTTTTAATACCACAGGCCAGAGACTGTGCTCTCTTGGACTCACGGCTACGGATGGCTGTAGCATCACCAGGGATCGAACTCGCGATCTCCTGATGACAGGGCCAACGCTTAGACCGTTGCGCCACTCGGGAGCCCTGAATATTGCACAATTTTTAAAACTTATAAAATTATTCCAGTATGTTGGCAGATACTATGGTTGTATTAAGAAATAAGGCTAGAAACAAGCAACATATTTTTCCAGTATAGAGATAATTTGGTACAGAATAACACAAGTAATGAGCCCTAAGATTAATTTTCTTCATAAAGTAGTAAGTTAGATTTTAGAAATGAAATTAGGTACGGGTAATGGAATATTTCTTTTTATTTAATATCAACACATACTGTATATCTAAACTGAATTTTCATGGAGGCTCCAGACAGCTGCATTAAGTGTAAGTCTGCCTAGCAGCTCATCATGCAGTTATTTTTACAACTAAACTGATTTTCCAAACTTGAGAAAGAATAATAACTAAATTATTACAGTTAATAAAACTAAATTGGCACGTAAAGGTGAGATCCCATTAGCTTATTGTATTTGATGGTTCCCGTGTTTCACTGAAGTCCTCTTTACAATGATGGTTCACCTGTCCGCAGGTCTACCTGGCCGAAATCTCTGCTGACCATCAGATGTGTGCTAAGAGGAACATCCATGGATGGAAGCTGAAGGACATCACGAAGGTCAGATTCTTCTCACATATGAACATGAATGTGATTTACTCTGTACTCGACCGGATGCTTATAGGCAGTGTGTAGGTTAATATAACATTTAATCGTGAATGATTCAGTTCTGATAGAATTATCGTATACCGTACACAGTCCATTCAGACGCAGTTCATAGTGTTGTATTGCGTCATTACGAAGGCCGTGTCTACATGTTGATAGTTGAGCTGTAACTATGACTGCTCTGAGCAGCGTGTAAGTTGTTATGGACAAAAACAGATTGAATGTGTAATAAAATTAAAGGTGCTATAAGGCTTTGTTAGTGTTGAAGAGTCAGTTTTGGTTCCATAAAGGCTCTTTCAGTGGTTCTTTTAAAAGAACCGTTTTTGTAATTAAGATGCCAGAATGTTTTAAAGAAAAGGTTCTATATCAATGAAAGGTTTTTCCTAGAACCGTACAGCGTCAAAGCCAAGAACTGTTCAGTATTTAAGACTGTAATTGTACTGATATTATTATTATTATTATTATTATTATTTTTCTTTTCTTCTTTTCTATTTATTTATTTATTTATTTATTCATTCATTCATTTTCTTTCATTATTAACAGCTGGCGAATGGCTGGGAGTGTGCTCCTGTGCACATGGCTCGACTGGACATCCGCTCTTTACTACAGGACGCTGCCATCGAAGAGGTAAATAATAATAATGATGATATAGATTAATAATTACAAATGCACATTGTTATAGCTGTGAGGCAGAAACACACTGTGCAGATTCTGATTCTGACCGTATCATTGTTATTTATTTGCTTTTTTCCCACAGGTGGAGATGGAGGATTTCAACCCGGCTGATGTGGAAACACAAGCTGAGGAGAAGAAGGAGGAAGAGGAGGAGTTAGATCTGGTAGGACGTTCATTCGTTTTTATCTGTCTTTTTTCACGTTCTCTAATGTCCCTGTGGAGCTCAATGGATAAATCTATATTTATTACTTTACCTTTTTTTGTTCATTAATTATAAACACTCTGGAAATACATGTGATGATGTATTGCTCAGACAATATGTTGTCACATCTGTATATTATATAAAGGGAATATTATTAGCATAACTCTATTCTAAAGACCTTAAATTATTAAAGTGCTTTTCTCATAATTTGGTGTTGCAAATCAGTTACACAGTTTATCATTGTAATGAATTGATCATTTATTTCAATGTTTTGATCTTCCTAAGTGAATTATTTACAGCTGTGCTGTAAACAGAACTCAGTGGGATGTCATTTATTGCTATTTGTGTGGAAAAGCTGCTGAGATCAGTTTTCCACTGAGCTGTAGTAAATTTAATCTGCATGTCTCAATAAATCAAAGTTTCTGTATCTCCTTTTTAAAGAAAGTCTGTGTTTCGGTTTGAGGAAAGTGCCAGAGCTGCACACGGATCCTCACTGTGTTTAATTTTGACATTTTTATCAAATTACCTTAAATATAAAATCTGACATGAGCTCAATTTCACAGCTTGTTAAACTAAAATGCAAAATTAATGATTTTATCTTCAAAAGCCTGGAAATATCAAGGTTTTGGTAAAGCCGAAAGGAGAGAAACTTTGGGAATAACGGCTTCAATGTGCTTGGTCAGCAGGTGTTCACGGCAGTGGACAGTATAGTATGGTGTTATTGCGGGTTCAGGTTTATGCCGCTTAATCAGAGACAAATTCAAATGTGCTTATTAATTTGCTCGTATTCAGATTCACTCATAAAACCGTATCTTTATTAGACGGTGTAGCTTTTTCTCACCACTTTCCTCCTAACAGTGCAGCTTTTCAGTACTGTTAATTAGCGTAGGGCTGATTAATCAGTTCTGTTTTGGATTAATGTTCTTATCTGAATTATGCTTGACTTTTTGGTTTGTGTTCTAAAGCACAAACCAAACTTGACTTGGCTGCTAGTATCTCCCTGAATGGTGTGAAATACATAAAACTTAAGTACCTTATAGAACTGCAGTGGAACTTAAAACATCCAGCATCTGTCAGCTCAGGAACTACAGCACTGAAACTGGTTTCTTATTCAAATTTTCTATTCCGCCTTAAATGATGCAGCTATGTAACATTTAAGGTGGAATGGGAAATTTGCATAAGAAGCTGGCACATAAGAAGCTGCATATGAGGTGAAGCTCTATTCTTCTCTTCTTGTGTCCAAAGTAAAGTGCTAAAGCTCTAAAGTGAGAGGACTGATCTTCAGCACAACAGAAACCTTAATGTCTGAAAAATACAAAGTACAGTCAGGTATGTGCTAGTGATTAATGCCTATAGCAATGTTTAATGCAGAAACCTTTTTAAATTTGCTTTATAAGTAGCGTTGAGCAGCAGCTGTGCTCCAGCCTAAATGGATGATTAAAGCTTGTAACACAGTTTCACTTTGTTTATGGTGGTTTTACAGTTTGTGTTTTTAATACAGAACTAATTAGGCTTTAGTCTAGTGGCTGTACACAGTGATGAGCTGATAAAGTCCAGGGTTTTAATCACTTCAGACACTGGACTTAGGTGATCATGCTCCATTTCCAGTCCTCATAGCCATCAATGATAAACCTATCAAATCTTAATAATTGCTTAGTGATTATTGCTTAATAATTATTTCTGATGTCCGTTACAGTGGATGCTTTTTAGTGCTTTACTGAACACAGTTGAGTGATTTAAAGAAATGCAGTTCATTGCAAAGAATAAAACTGCTTTTGATGCGTACATTCATGCTGATAAATGTATTTATGGACCACATATGTGTGTATACATGGTGTTTGTGTGCATGCATGTTGTGCATATTCTATGTTTTGTCACACTACAGCAATACAAAACATTTAACCGAGAGAAATATTAGTAGTTTAAGAAATTTTTTTTGGGGGGCGGGCGGTCAGTTTTCACTTCAGGGCTGCTGAGAACATTTTTCATGACTGTTCTGATAAAGCACAGTGAGGAGCTCTGAGGTGAAAATGTTGAGGACGAACAGATCCGTCAGAATGATATTGCAGTGTTACTGCACATCTGAAAGGAAACCTTGTGAACTGGGCTGAAATGATCTGGAACCTGAGATGAACATTCAGGTTCTTTGAGGAACTGACAGTATATCCTTTCCTTCCCTGACAGCTTTTATTGGCTGTTTGTAGATCCACACTGTAATCTGTTATGTTCTAATATTAATGTTAATATGATATATGATCTCATTCAGTTTTTAGTATGTTACTATATGTAGATGCTGTTTGTCATCCCACCTCCTTTATGATGTTAAAGATAACAACTGTAGCATTTCCGATCAGTTCTGTACTCATCTGTGTTTTTGCTTTGATTACTTTGATTCAGTAAATTTATGATTACAGCCTAAGGTTTCATGGTAGAAGATCCTGGTGTTGAACATGTTTACTCTGTCAGTGGTAGAAATGAGTCAGAATATTTGAACGTCCTGAAAGAAAGAATCCAATAGTAAATTAGAATGACTGATTATCTTCTATGTATCTATGTACATTTTCATATTAAGGAATTGTGAACTGTCTGAATCCTCCACCAGAGGGCAGTGTGGAACAGATTCTTACATTTTGGTCAGATTTTCTAATTTGTTTAGCCTAGTGAATGAAAGACTACCGCACACTGTCTAAAGACTACCGCAGTCCTTTAAATGCTACTGCACACTGTCTAAAGACTGGCGCACACTATCTAAAGACTACTGCAGTCCTTTAAATGCTACCACACACCATATAAGGACTACTACTGTCCTTTGAATACTACCGCACTCCGTGTAATTACTACTGCAGTCCTTTAAATGCTACCACATGCCATCTAAAGACTCCTGCAGTCCTTTAAATGGTACCGCACAACGTGTAAAAGTAGAAAAGCTCCCATAAATATCATTCCTCCCTACTATACAGATTACTGTGTGCTGGTATGAGTTTGATTAGATATTTTAATAAAAGCAGCAGCAGTTTGACTGAGAAAAATCTGTAACTTCATACTCTCAGGCTCTAAATGAAGTGTTTTTTTTTTCTTGCAAGTTTAATTGAGTGACATTACATGTAATTAGCTTCAATAATACTCGAGTACAGTTCAGATATTTCATAGTAATACTGAAGTACAGTAATAAAGTCCAGATACTGGACTCCAGTTACTGTACACGGTGCTGTGTGCAGGTAAGTTTTACTGTAATTAATGATCGAACAATAAAGTGCAAGTGTGGAACATTCTGTATGTTCCTGATCATCTAAAGCTGTTTGTCTGTGTGTGTCTGTGTGTATCTGTGTGTGTCTCTGTGTGTGTGTGTGTGTGTGTGTGTTCCTCCTCCTGGAGACCATCAGCCACTTCACTTTTGTGTGTTTCTGTGTTCAGTCTCCTGAAATACAGATTTGAATTAGATTTATTAGTTTTGTTTTGCTGTGACCAAGAAGGATAAGTGGCTTAGAAAGTGTGTGTGTGTGTGTGTGTGTGTGTGTGTGTGTGTGTGTGTGTGTGTGTGTGTTTTTCCACGTATTATTGAAATTTCTCAATTACGTCCTGATATGATCTCATAACCACAACAGAAAATGGCCAAGCTGAGTACTTAAAATGACTAAAGGTAGCTTTGAATGTAACTGTTTGCTGTTTGTGAGTATGTGCCAATTTTAATAAAAAAATAGAGAGTTTACCTCAACAGTGTTGCTGAAACACACAGCAAGGTCAAACCCTATTTTTGTGTATTTTAGATTAAACTAGAGAGTTGTTGAAGATACTTTTGTGCCTTCTGGTAAATCTCATCATGATGAGTCAGAATTTACATTTTAAATGTCTTGCTTGTCTTTCTTTGTGGTTTCTGTGTGGAAATCATGATCGTGGTGCAGTAATCCCAAGGACGCTTTACAAAGAGGAGAGGGGGAAAATGGGTATAATATATTCCAAACACAGGACATTATAACATTTATGCACTTAAGTTTTAAAAAGACAACATTTTAGGATGTTTTGTGGCTCATAACTGACCTACAGATGTAAACACTTTGATCTGGGCCCCTGAATCCGCATGTGTTTCAGAGACGAAATAGTCTTTTACGTAGGGCTGAAAGATGAATCGTTTTTATATCGAAATCGCAATATGAGAGTGCAATTTTCATATTGCGAGGGCTGAAATTTTTAGAACCTATTTTGTCAACAAGGTTGTCTTTAATTTTTAAGTGAGGAAGTTTAACCTGATAACGCTGACCTTGTAAACTTCCTGTAGATACATTAGACCAATCAGACACAACCAAAGAGTCATGTACTTTGACCCACAACCACAGTAATCTTGTAGTCTGACACGCTGCGTTCAGCGCTCAAGCCTTGTGCAATTCATTGTCCATATGAAGAACTTTATGACGTAATTTGGTCAAAGTATAGTTACCTGATTTTTCTCTAAATGTATAAAATGACCTGTATTGGTGATGAATGATGATGAGAATGCTGTCCTGTTCAGAGTCTGTCTGAAAACAAGCTTTAACTGGAAAAACACAAAGGTTTGATTATATTTCAGCTGTCTTTGATGATTCAGTTAAAATCAATCTTTAATCAGAGTCTGTCAGCAGTAACAGCGCTCAGAAGATCAGCGGAGGATGAGACTTTCTCCTCAATATTTACACATTTACTGAATCTTCTTTTGTCTGTAGTATGAATATGTGCAGAAGAACATGCTTGCTTTGAACAGAAATTGTATTTTAATCTGTAAGTACTATAACACGTCAGTGGTCACCAACCCTGGACCTTCACATGGAGTTCTAGTTCCATCCGCAGTCTGATCCACATAACTAACTCCTTCAGAAGGTCAGGAGTGTTAGTGCAGCTGAAGCTCTGCAGGACCGTAGATCTCCAGGAAGATGGTTGGTGACCACTGACTTACAGAACAAGACATGTTGAAGAAATCAGAATTTATA